CTGGGAGGCGGCCCCGTCGCGACCACGTTCGTCCCGGGCCTCGCGCCGGCTCTGCGCCCGCGCAGGCCTTTCTCGATTTTCGCTGCCCCTTTGGCCTCTGGGTTCAGTCCCTGCCTTTCTTGCAGGTAATATTTGAAAAATGCACGTTGTGTTCACGTTTTGCTTCGGCGGTCAGACTGAGCTCTTTGAGGGTAAAAGCCGGCTTTTCGAGCCCGTTTACTGCCATGTCTTGTCGTCTCGAAGGTAGTTACGGAATGACGGAGGGGCGTCTGTTTCTATGGCTTCGATCCGAAAGCATAAAAGGAAGGGAGCCGTGAGATCTGCTGCACGTCGGAGCTCACGTTGGCCAAGCTCGGAGCTGGGTGCTTGCGAAGTCTACAGCCCCTAGCGCGGGTGCCAGCCCAGATTCCAGGTTCGGAAACTGGGCCGGGAAAGGTCGACTGCCTTGCCAGGGCCCGGCGCTCCGACCTGACAGCTGTTCTATCCTAAAGCCACTCTCTTTCCCTGTTGAAAACAACAGCGACAGCTGAAGCTGTGTTGTTCTTCTACCGTGGAAACTGATCTGGGCAGCCTTTGCTTGCTCCTTCGACCCCTGTCTTGGGAGAAGCCCTGAGTGGCGGTGCAGTGGAGATTGCTGGGTGGCCTGGGGCTGCCCTCCCGGCCCTGGCCCAGCCGCTGGCAGAGGGTCTCCCTCAGAGCCCCGGGCGTCCCTGGGGGGGGGCTGTGCTCTGCCTGCTTCTGCTCCCTCTCCTTAGGGGATGGCCTTGCAGGACCTGTCACTTCCTCCTTTGTGCCAGCCCTGCATTAAGTCATTTTGACTTTAAGGGTTTTAAAATGACACAGACTGTTGATTAATTACGTCGAGAACTTTCCAGCAATACCACCAAAATGTTTTGGACCCCCTCCCCGCCAGTACAAGGAATGACATTTTATAGGCCGCATGGCCTCTGTCCTGAGCAGCCCTGTGCTGAGCCCCAACACAGCGAAAGACTCGGTTCTTTCATCTCAGGCTCCAGTTTCTGCAACTCTTTCTGATGTTTAATCTGCTTGTGGTTGAAGACTATGTCTAGGTCGTGGGGGAACCTAACACTATTTGATTTGGCTAATTTCAAGAAATTATGTTTACCCACAAATAAAATTAGACAGATAGAGCCCTCTCACTACCTCTTCAAAGGGATTGGAGATTTCCCAACGTTATGCAATTTGTGCATACAAATGTTCTTTGCCTTTTTAAAGAGTTTATTTCAACTCTTAGTTTTCATTTTAACATTAACGGTGGTAGGGTAGAAAGGTTAGCTGAGCCCTTGTCATTTTCAAAAGGTTGTATGCCGAGCAGTGTTTTTAGTTTTTGATGGTTTCCCCCTTTTGCTAAAATAAATGAACTACAAAAGCCAAAAGTTCTACATCAATAAATCTCAGAAACTTAATGATAAAAGGAAAAAGCAAATGGCAGCACTAAGTACATGTGGCCCAACCCAAACAAAGTCTTAAGCTGGGAAAGCCAGTCGCACACCTTGTTTACTAATGCATCCCCATGTAGCCGTGGAGTGACACACTTGGAGAGCAGAGTTGATGGCTGTAACCGCCCCTGAAAGGGTGGGCCAGAAATGGGCTTGGGATGGGCTTCAAGGTCTCACTCTTTTGCTGTGCCATGATCGCGGCTCACTGCAGGCTCCAACCCCTGGGCTCAAGGGATCCTCCTGCATCAACCTCCCGGGTAGCAGGGACTACAGGCGTGTGCCGTCACACCTGGCTTATTTTTTGATTTTTGTGTAGAGATGAGGTCTTGTTATGATGCCCAGACTGGTCTCAAACTCCTGGGCTCAAGCGATCCTCCCACCTCAGCTTCCCAAAGTGTTGGGATTACAGGTGTAAGCCACTGCACCTGACCATGTTTTAGGTTTTTAAACTTTAAGATTTGTTAAAGCGGGTGCCAGGTTTATTACTTTTTTTTTTTTGAGTTGGAGTCTCACCCTGTCGCCCAGCCTGGAGTGCAGTGGCCGCTCCCGGCCACCGCAGCCTCGACCTGCTGGGCTCCGGCGATCCTTCCGCCTCAGCCTTCTGAGTAGCCAGAATTACAGGCACATGCTACCACGCCCGGCTCATTTTTGATATATTGTAGACACGAGGTCTTGCCAAGTTGCCCAGGCAGGTCTCAAACCCGCAGGCTCAGGCAATCCACTCACCTCAGCCTCCCAAAGTGCTGGGATTACAGGCTGAACCACCAACCCCGGCCAGGTTTATTACTTGTTAATTTGTTGCTATTTGTTAAAGTGGGTGTTTATTCTTTGTATTTCTCTATATGTTTGAAATTTTTCATAATCTAACGAAATGAGTTCTATTTATCTAGTGTTAATAAAACTTAGCTCCTAACATTTCCAAGATGTTGCAACCGAAACTTACGCAAAAGAAAGCCTAAAGTATGGTATCATGCTATGTGTGTCCAGATCTTTTTGTTTGCATGTTTGATTCTTTGTTGGAAGCACCGAGTTTCTACAGGAAGTAGGATGAAGAATTTGCTTTGTAGCTGAAGGATGTGTAAGATGAAAGATCCTTAGACATGAAATGAGGTCAGTGGTAAGCTTACGATTTAAATTGTTGTTTGAAAAAGTGCTCTATCTGCTCCTTCCAGGGGAAAAACCATGGAGAGAACCTAGATACAATGTGACATTAATTCTTCTTCTTAGTATCTAGATCACCATGGCGACTGGACAGAGGTTGATGAGAGCTGTCAGAGTGTTTGAATTTGGTGGACCCGAAGTCCTGAAACTCCAGTCGGATGTGACCGTGCCGATTCCAAAAGACCACCAGGTGGAAAGAATCACTTTACTCAAGCCATAGTTGCACCGAGTGTGACTCGGCAAGCCAGTGCTCAAAATAAACAGATACACAGTGACTTTCACAGACACTGAATTAGCACAAAATTTACAGCACCTCCATGGATGGGCTCTGACAAGCTTAACCTGAGTCTGATAATTAGCGAGGTAGACTTTGACAAGGAATAGCCTCTGGTTATAAGAAAAGTTTTGTAGTGTCATCACTGGATTCTTCTGAATGGAGCCATAGGGAGTTTTGAACAAGCTGTTCTGTTACAGACTCCATGCGTTTTATTTTGTGCATACTGGGCAAACAGTTTTCGTCTGTGCTTATGCTTTTCTGTGTATGATTTATGAGAGTTTAAATACAGCGTTTTAATCCTCTCCAATGACTTTAACAGTATACTTTTGACTTAAAACTACGTATTTATTATGACCGACCTTCCATGGCTCCAAGTCTAACTCCTTAGCAAGCCTGATGAGAGGTTTTACATTTGGCTGTACTTGGCTTCTGCAGATTTGTTTCTCGTCACTTCCTGTCTATGTAGAGATACAGTGCTGTAGCAGCATCCAGCTACATCCAGTATTTCCAAGAGGCTCTTTCTTCCTCTCTTTGTACATGCTATTTCTTTTACTTGAAATCTCTTTTTTACCCAAGTCCTAAAGAATTTCTACTCCTGTTTTTAGGCTTAGCTCACATGCCACTTCCTCTGTGAGACCTTCCCTCACTCTAGTGGTCATTCTGGGCTAATTAAGGTAAAATTAGCTCCTATGAGGGACGTGCCCCCACATCTCAACAGTTCAGCAACAGAAAAATACTTGTCATTTGCACGGTTCCAAAATTCCCCACTGTGGGTGGATGGCTGTCCTCCGACAAGGGCCTGGGGACGCAGGCTTCCAGGGTCTCCAAGACACGGAGAGCGCAGTGTGGATGGCTGAGGAGGGGGATTGGGGCCAGACCGGCAGGTGGCTGGCATCACTTTCGCTCACTTTCCGTGGCTGACGCTCAGTCACTTGTCTGTGGTGACTGCGGAGGAGATCGGGAAGGGCTGCCCTTTCCACGTGCTGCGGAACACGCGGCGGTCTCTGCCACACATCCCTTAACTATTTCTTCCGCTGTTTTCCCCAAATGTCTTTAATGCAGCGCATAAGCCAGTATTCCTCATTTATTCATATTTGTCTGTCTATTTATTTATATGTTGGTTTGCAAAACTAGAATACGAGCTTGTGGAAGGCAAGGGCGTGTGTGTGGCTTCCTTCTCCATTTCTGTGGCTCCCATGGGCAGCGTAGTCCTAGCCTAGGGCTGAGGATGCCGTGATGCTCTGCGTGAACGAAGTCTGTTGCCATTGCAGGTTCTAATCAGAGTCCACGCGTGTGGTGTGAACCCCGTGGAGACGTACATTCGCTCCGGGACGTACAGCAGGAAGCCAGCCCTGCCCTACACGCCTGGCTCCGACGTGGCTGGGGTGGTGGAAGCCATTGGAGATGGTGCGTCTGCTGTCAAGGTATGGCACTGGTGGTCGTCTCCATTTGGACTAGATGTTTAAAACACTATATGAGAACACAGCTTACATGGCGTCTGCATTGAAGACCCAAAGTTCTGCTTCCCAGCTCCTGCCACTTGGGGGACTCCTTCAGCAAAGAAAGAAATCACTTTGTATCCAGAGGCCTCATTTGTTTACGTTGTTGAGAAGAGATGCTGGGTGATTTCCTTGTCCTCACGTCCCCACAGAATAAGCTGTGATCTTGTTGGAGTGATAGCCTATGAGGACAGAGGACAAACCAGGCAATGATCGTCTTTCCTAACTCTGTATAATGCACATGCCAACATGATTTTTAATTCCTGTTATAAATGTAGCTTAAGAAAATAAGGGGAAAGTTAATTCTTGAAAGGAATAAGTAAAACACACAAAAAATGCAAGGTCACCATTCCGTTTCAGAGCTCTGAGGCAGACCGAGGTCAATGGTGGTGGTATGATCAGGGCTTTGGTTCTATATTTGCTGGAAGCCAGACAAAGCAGTGTATTCATCATCGTGTCACATCATCGTGTAGTGTCCTGGCATCCTTCCTCCTGACTCCTTGACCTGCTCACCTTAGGCAATGCATTTGCCAGAACTGGGTGGAGACGGAGAAGACTGCTGTGCCCCTGTCCAGGAAGCCGCACGTTCCCACGCTCTCCCCTTCTCAGCCTGTGGCAATCTGGCTTCTGCCCCCGGCTCCACTGAAATGATCCTGGCTAATGTCACTAATGGCCTCTCTATTGCTGGAGTTAATGGGCCCTTTTATGCCGTTATCTTTCTTGACTTCTCTGTGACATTTGACACTCTCAGCCACTTAACTTTTTCTTTAAAAACACTTTTTCTTCAGCTTCTGCGCCATCATTTCCCCCACTTTCCTCTCCCCTACTGCCCGGGCACCCTTTCTTGGCATCTTTTTCTCTGGGTGTTCCTGGAAGCTCAGTGTTGCCCGGGGCTCCCAGGCCCTCTGGAGGCTCTGCTGTCTGTATTCTGTGCCTTTGCCATGACGGGCTCTTGCACCCCCTTACTTTCCATGATCCTACGTGACAGCTTCAGCGTCGAATGTCCTGCTAAACTCTGGGTTGTGCTGGTCGTGACCACAGCCGCCAGCCACGGGCTGCAAATTAAAATCCAGCCCAAACGCAGCTCCTGATCACACTAGCCAAATGCACAGTAGCCCCACACCCGGTGGCACCCCTGCTGGACGGCGCAGATGTGGAATGCCCCATCATCACAGAAAGGAGCCGTGGCCCACGGGGTCAGCCTCCTGGACCTCCCGTTCCGCTGTCCAGGCCGGGCCACCCTGCCCCTGCAGCCGCGCCTCTCCCGGTGGCCGCCCCCGCCCGGGGCTGAGGCTCCCCTCCACGCTCTCCCTCTGCTCCCCTCCTGGAACGGCCACCCTCTCCCCTTCCCCTCCGGCTGCCTGGAGGTCACTTCAGGTCATCCTGCCTTCCTGGCCGCATCTCACCTGACACTCCGCCTCCCTCCTTTCCCCCAGTCCATCCTACGCCAGGAAGAACCCGCAGTACGGAATGGTTATTTCGCCTTAATTCTTGCACTCATTCCTTGCAGGCTGGGGGAGACTGTTGAGATTCCTTACTGTTTTGAAGTCAGACTGTCTCTCTTGAGGCTGTCTTTCCACCCTCGCCTCCAGCCCTTCCCGCCTCTCTTTCCGTTCTCACCTCCCACTTTTCTCACCTGCAGTTTGTTTTGTGGCAAGGCCCTGCTTTTCCTTCCTGCCCAGTCCGCGCTCTTTCTCTGTCTTTGTCCCGGTTGGTTCTTCTGCCTGACAGAATTAAATGGAAATTTATAGACATGGATTCCGAGGCTTTTGCACTTCTGCCTTTCTTTTGCTTGTGTCTCTTGAAGCTATTTTGTGTCACACGTCAGGCGACTTACTCACTGGGAATGAAGGCTGCCAGTTCCTTGCGTTAATTCCTGCCCCTGCACCACGGCTGACTTTGGTCGCTTCCCCCAAAGTGACTCTTCCCAGATCTAATTTTCAAAATCATATCCTATCCTTCAAGACTTGCCTCAAATATTAGCTGCTCCATGAAGCTCTTCTTAATTTCTTCAGCTTAGGAGGCATTTCTTTCTTTTTCTTATTTCTGCCTGTGGTGGCTTCTCTTGTCTGCCTGGCTTTATCATGATCTCTGCTCTTCTGTCTCCTCTAGAGTTAGGATGCTTGAGATGAGGGATGGTGTCTTTCTGCGCAGATCCCTCGCAGAACTTGTAGCAGTGCTTTCTCTAGCGTGGATTCTCAGTGACTGTTTGAATGATTTGAAATCAAGTTAACATGTCTGCTAAGCTGTGAACCCCGGGTGTCGTCTTAACTGCATCTCGGCCTTTGCGGGCAACACTGCTAATGCCGAAGCTTGTCTTTGCCTCTTGGCTGCCTTTGAACCTTCTCCGTCTCTGCCGCGCCACAGGGTGCTGCTACCTCTGCAGACTTCTTTCTTGTCGTACTGAGCAGTCATTGCCTTAATTGTTTGATCGTTTGCCTGGTCTGGGGAGTATTTGCTTTTTCTTTCCAGGAAGGAGGAGTAAGGGCTGGTGCTGCTGCAGGCAGTCTAGTTGCCCCTGGCGTGCGGGCCCGGGTATGCGTGGCCAGGCCATACATAGCCAGGCCGTCCTCATCCTCAGGCCCGCCACCCTTGGGTCGTGAGGCCAGCCGGCGCCCTGAGAGTGTGCTGGGTGTCCGGTGCTGTGACAGGTGCAGCAGCCTATCCCAGCTCTCCGGCCGTCAGGATCCAGACGTGGTTTCCTCCTTGGGGCATGGGCCTGAATGTGGTGGCAATCCAGGAGCCAGGAAGCCCGGTGAAAGGATCTGGGCCAGGTTTTTGAAAGAAGCGTTACATCTTATTTATTTCTTCTCCCTAGTACCTTGGGCAAAAATAATGGTTTGTACTGATCGCTGCTTGTTAACTGCTTGATCTGAGGAAATTTCTGAACTTCTTTGTGCCTCAGTTTCCTCACGTGTGCAGTGGGAATTAGCCTGGAGTGGGGATGGTACAAGTGCCCACCTCCTGGGCTGTTGTGAAGGTCCAACCAGGTCATTTTCGGAGATGCTGAACTCAGGACCTGGCGCAGCCAACGCTCAGCGAAGGCGAGTTGTCAGGGTCACCGTCGGGCTGGTTGGGGCGCTCCTTCCTTTCATTTTTCCGATTTCCCTTCGTTTTTCTTCCCATTGGTTTCCATAATAAGCATTTTGAAACGTTCACCCTCTTAAAGTTATTTTTACAAGGCCCTAGAGATGGAAAAACAGCACGTAAATGCTCGTTGATTTCTTGTTAGGAAGGGCTGTATCTATGTGGACGTCGCTTCTAAACTCTGATGCCCGTGTCGACTCGCTTTATCCCCCAGACAGGTGACAGGGTCTTCACGACCAGCACACTCTCTGGGGGCTACGCGGAGTACGCGCTTGCAGCGGATCACACCGTCTACAAACTGCCCGACGAGCTGGACTTCCAGCAAGGCGCGGCCATCGGTATCCCATATTTCACGGCGTTTCGAGCTCTGATCCACAGGTAACGACACACTCTCAATTTTACAGCCAGCGCCGAAGCAGGGCAGCGTGGACATGCATGGAGTGGACCCCATGCTGATTTGAGGCTGTGGCCATCACTGGGCACCCAAAGGAGCGCAGACTCTGGCTCCACAGTGCTCGCTGTCCAGTGAGGGAAACAGACTTTCCTCTGTAGAGTGGAGGGAGAGTACAGGACAGAGACGTGCCCGGGGACTGGTGGGGCGCAAGGGGGTGCCTGTGGTGACCAGGCGGGGCTCCCTGGCAGGAGGCGAGGCTGGGGTTCCTGCAAAGCCCTGGCCCCTCGCAAGAATCGTCTGGGCAGCAAGTCAGAGGTCGGGCACGGGGCCCCCGCCAGACCCGCTGCTCAGCGTCCGTGACTGGCTCCCGAGAATCTGTGTTGTAATCAGATCCACTAAGCCTTTGCAAAGGGTCAGCGGGCATGTATCTGGGAGGGGTAGTGGCGAGGAGAGAGGACATTCTCGACAACGGAAATAGGATAGGGAGAACCACAGCACCTCGGCTTCGGTGGACGGAAGATTTGGAGGCCAAGAGCGGCAAAGCTTCAAGCTGGAACGTCGAAATCTATCAGTAGATGTTAGCTGCCATCACCAAATAGGTAGGACTCAGAATATAGAGCCCACACGTTCTCTGAAGCATTGCGGTCATGAATGTTTTATTCAGGGGCATGCCGTCATCCTATTTGTGTTTCATCGAGATCACTTGCTTGCGTGTGAGGATGAATTTGAGGACAGGACTGGAGGGTGAAACAGGGGGTCTTCTAGGAATCCCTCCAGACAAAATGCTTATGGGCCAGGCAAGGGTTGTGGTGGAGTGGAAAGGGCAGCGACTCAGTGGAGGCAGAGACAGCACCAGATGATTGTCTGCAGGTGGAGAAAGGGGTGAGGAAGAGCTTAGAGCACTTCCAGCTTGAGTCGCACTTAACTGTGGCAAAGACAAGCCAGAGAGCTGTGTTCAGTTTTGGACTTGAAATTATGAGGGAAGCTGGGCTTGGTGGCTCAGCCTGTTATCCCACGCCTCTGGGAGGCTGAGGTGAGTGGATTGCCTGAGCCCGCGGGTTCGAGACCCGCCTGGGCAGCGAGACCTCATCTCTACAACAAATCAAAAAATCAGCCGGGCGTGGTAGCGCATGCCTGTAATTCCGGCTACTTGGAAGGCTGAGGCGGAAGGATCGCCGGAGCCCAGCAGGTCGAGGCTGCAGTGGCCGCCCCGGCCACTGCACTCCAGTCTGGGCAACAGAGTGAGACTCCAACTCAAAAAAAAAAAAAAGAAAGAAATTGTGAGGGGGAGAGCCCAATGGAGAGGTCCTTTGCCCATTGGATAAAGGAGTGAAGTTTGAAGGCTGGAGATGTAAATTTGGGAATATTAGCACACAGGTGACAGCGAGCAAGACGCAAAGTGACCAGAATCCCTCAGGGATTCTGAAGAAGAACAGTGGGCTGGGAGTAGACCCTCGTGAACATCCACATTTGGGAGCGTAGCCGGAGGAAAGGGAGGCGTCCTGAGAGATGGTCGAGAGTGAGTCCCAAGGCCAGGAGCGCCAAGAGGTCCTGGGATCCCTTCAGCATCCAGTCAGTGCGTGGACCCTGAAGACCGGAAGACCGGGGTCAGAGTCATGTCTCCACCTGGCACTGGCTGCGTGACCTTGGCCAGGTTGCCTCCAGTCTCAGCTGCAGTGTGCTGATTTAAAAAACATTGTAACAACAGCACCCACCTCCCGGGGTCTGGTGAGAACTACGTGAGGTGACATTTATGTAAAGTTCTGAGTCCAGGGCTGACCCAGAGTGAGAGCCCGGCCAGCGCTGGCAGTGTTGGGAGCAGCAGCTGATGGTGCTGCTGGGGATGGGTGCCACGTTCCGGGTGGCCGTGAGGTCTGCGCGGAGACAGGCAGCTGGGCGTAGCCAGGGAGAGGCCATGGCGACCTCGGTCAGCTCCTGCTGAACAGAGTGCTGGACAGCCTGCCTTGGCTGAGGAAGGAAGAGGAAGTCAGTTCCTGGAGTGGAGGCGACTCTTTGAAGAGATGAGGAGGTGGGAAATGACCTCAGCCGAAAACACCGTCGCAGAAACATCCAGGATAACTGTGAACAGATCCCGGACACCTTGGCTCGGCCGAGCGCACGTGTGAAGCTGGGATCACAGGGACCCTGTACAAGGATGGGAGTCATCGCAGTGGGCTCAGGAGAGGGCTAGCCTCCTTGTCCCCCTCGCCCCAGGCCTGGAGACCTGCAGGAGCGCTTGCTTAGTATTCGAGGAGCTGTTTGTGAGATGAAACGAAAGTTCCTTGGGAAGTATTCCCATCTTGCAGTTTAACAGCAGGAATGCTGACCCCTCACACGTGCATTTTGCTTGTTAAAATGTCATGGAGTGTTGGCGACCGTTGCCTCAGCACAGGAGTCACCCCTTCACTGCAGCTCGCTGTCCTCCGTCCCCTGGGCCTCGTGTTGGCCGTGGTTGGCAGCTGCCAGTCAGCTCCGGGTCACTATGTTCTCGTTCCCTGACTGCACTGGCATCTCTGCAGCGTGGCCGCTGCACCAGCTTGCGGAAGCAGGCTCCTCCTCCTTGAGTGTCAGGCTGGCCCGCGCAGCCTCTGCCACTGGTGACGTTAGCACATGTCCCTGATGGTGGCTGCATGTTCCCTGTTTTCAGCATCTAATAGGAAAGTAGTAACATGAGTCAGAAATCAAAACATGTCATTTCACTGGCGAGTCTGGACACCTAGGGGTGACACGGGAACCGTCGTGACAGGGTTGGTCGTATTTCTGCCTTACTGTTGCTGACTCGGCATTGCTTTCTGAAATGAGAGCTTGGAGACCGGTGCAGCCTGATGGTCAGAGGCGGAGAAGGAAGCATCGTTTTTTGTCTCTGGTACAAGACAGGGTGGCTGCTGTGTTTACTCTGGCGGGTGCTGCAGACAGGCTGAGCTGTGAAGACCTGCTTGGAGATGCGTCTGTGGATCCTGGGGAGTGAGACTCCATGCACGTTCCTGCCCGGGCTGCAGCCACAGAGTGGCACTGTGCTATGACCCCAGTACCCAGCAGCGGGCCTGGCACAGAAACACTCCCAGTAGATATCTGGGGAAGGAGTAAATGAAGTGAAGGTTTCCCTGTCTCTGAGGCTCTGAAGAATAATCTGCATTTGATTCTGGGAGTCCCGGGGGTGATTCAGGCTGTCCAGGGGTTGCATTTGCCCTTTGGGTGCGTGCTACTGGGCCAAGGGTGGAAATGCCTTAAAGAGGATGAGAACACCTGAGCTGAATGAGCGTCAACAAACTAAGCGCTGGAACCTCCGGTTTCTTTTGCAGTGCCCGTGCGAAGGCTGGCGAGAGCGTTCTGGTTCACGGGGCTAGCGGAGGAGTAAGTATTTTATAAAGATTTGTTTGTTTGTATCTTTATTGCTCCCCCCACCACCCCAGCAGTTAAAAGCGCTTGAGTTTGTGGGTTTCACATTTTAGTTCTTTAAGTCATTTGAAACGCCAAGTGTATGGTGGTTCTCTGTCATCAGTTTAGCATTTCTTGGTTCGTCAATTCAGCAGCCCACCCTGTCCAAATGCATAGTTCAGGTTTTCCACCTGGACTGAGTGTGGACCAGGATAAACTGGCCCTGGGTCTGCCTCCAAGTCACATGTGTCATAAGAATGTTTATTTAGAATTTCAGGCAGTTTGTTCAGGTTGGTGTTAATTCCATGTTCACTTAGATAAGGAAGCCAAGGCTCACCAAAGCTTTACGTGCTGTCCAGGACAGCACTGCCCAGCCACACTGAGTTTTTGGTCCTTTCCACCTGTTTCCGCCTCTGACCCGCTGTGCTGTGATGCGGAGTACACAGTGTGTAGCTGTGTCCTCAGCACCACAGCCCCTGGCCCAAAATGCTGTGGGGGGATGGGGAGGGGTGGGACTCGGAACTTTTAAGCCCTTCAGTGAAACCACCCCTTCCGGCTGTCAGAACCTCTTCAAGAAACCCGCCACCAATCCACCTCTGAGGTGCTTAGAGGAGAAGGTTGGAGCCTGGTGGCTGGCATTTAACAGGAAATGCCCATGACCTCCATCCTGCAAAGGAGGCCTCAGAGACTTTGGAGACTTGATTTTGTACTTTAAAAACACAGGGCCTGGGGCTGGACACTCACCTTGGGGACACGGGTGTACCCCTTCAGCACTGTGTGCTTCTGGGAGGAGATTGGAAGAAGCCACCATAAAGTGGTACAGGTCCTCCAGACAACGAGGGGCTGGAAGCGTGAGTTCCCCTCTGAAAGCCAGGCAGCTTCGGCCAGGAGCACATTGTCTCCCTGCGTCTTAGATCCACAAGTGAGGGTTTCACACCTAGCTTCCTGCACGCCTCAAGCAGACGGGTTCTCAAGGATTTCACAGATCAGACAGCTTGTTAAAAACACCAACACTGTCTGTGTGGGGCTTGAGAAATATGACAGGTGCACTGTGTCAGAATCTCCCATTGCTCACCTTCACAGAAGAGGCTATTTTGGGGTTCAGTTGAAGTAGCCCCAAATGACTAAAGGGTCTGTCAAACACATGCATTTATTTAAATTGCTTTGGCTTTCCAGAGCTAACCTACTCCACGTGGAAGGGAGAGATTTCAGCAGGCAGAGAAAGAAGAGTTTAAAGAAAATCTCTCTCTAGTCCCTTCACCCGCTTGTAAAGAGCCCGGGTGCCCCACCATGGTTTTTTTTAAAGGAAAGAACCACACTGTTCTCTGAGCTGCCGAGGTTGTTAAATCCCTGACTGGCAGTGATAGGCTGGCGACTGGGCATGTGAAGCCTCTGATCCTCCCTGCCCTGTCAGAGGGAAACAGAGGGCGGGGCTCTGCCCTGCCGCTGCTCATACTTCCTGTCCTCATGTTATTCAGATTCTGTTGGGATTATGTTGTGTGTTTAAGACGGTGTGGAATTTATGAACACAGCCATCATCCAGACGTGTTGGCAGGGAGTGCCCTAGTGTTAGCAACATAGACAGGAGAGCGCCACATCATGTACGTAACTATTGAGGAAGTGCTGGGGTAACTGCTGGCAAGAACAGGGTGCACGGGGCCTCTGTGGGACCTGCTGAGTGGCCTTGCAGAGCAGCCGGAGCCTAGGGAGATGCACGCGCACGGAGTCTTTAGTTTGAAATGTGGTTCTGCGAGAGGTCTGTTGTCCTTAATTTGACAATTAAAGCAGAAAATCCGTGGTGCCCACCCCATCGCGTACCGTGTCTTAGCCCATTGGCTGTCTCCCTTCATCAGTGAGTGAGTCCATGTATTGGCTTGTTTGGCCGAATCAAGCAAATGCCTGTCACCGCCCGACTGGGACCAGGCTCCTCATTCCCATCTGCCAGACAGTCTTCCAGGTTCCTTTTGGGCCTGGGAGTCTGTGATTCTGTTACAGTTTTGATGAGCGTCTGTCATTATTTTTCATCTTAATTCTTTCTCGTCTTGGCCAACCCAACCTTTCCTCTGAATCTCAGGTCACCAATGGGGTGACTGTGTCACTCTTCCCTTCCCTCAGGGACACTTGGCAATGTCTGTCCTAATGGTTGCCCCACCTGGGGAAGGGGGTTCTGGCATCTGTCGGCAGGTGTCCATCAGTTCCCCGCAACAGAGATCTCTCCGGCCCCAAATGCCAATAGTGCCAAGCTTGAGAAGCCGCTCCAAACTTGTCTGTGCCCTCATTTGGTGCATAATCAAACATGTCTTTTCTCATGCTGTTGCATGAACAACTGGCATTGTGTCGATGTTCTTGGGTCACTTTCCTTTCCCATTTAGGCCAGGCACACTTACCTGGAATGCTGGCTTCACAGACGACCTGTAAGACAGTGAAGCTTCCACGTGCATCTGCACCTCTGGCCCCTTGCTAGTCTTCACCCGCATCCGCTGCTTGCTGGACATCTTGGCCCTGGTGAGCCTGGGGCAGTGCAGCGCACTCATGGATGTTGATGCTTTCACACAGGTGATGCTCCCCTCTCTGCTATTCCCCCCAGTTAATCTGGTCAGAGTCCAGGCGGCAGCTGGATTTTTCTCTTTTGCTCCCAACACATTTCGCCTGTGAGGGCTTCATCAGCTTGCCTCTAGTTGCATCTGACTTACTGTTGTCCTTTCTACATTCCTCTCCATCCCCTTCGCCCAGGCCGGCCTCATGTCCAGTTTGGACTGTGATCCCAGCTGGGAGGCCATCTCCTGCTCCCGGTTTCCTCCTCCCCTCCATTGTGCCTCACACGTCATTGACGGGAGCAGCCTTGGAAAGCCTCTATTGACAGGACTGCACTCTGTGTGAGCTCTCGGTTGATCTGCGTCTTCTCAGTACGATCCGAATCCTTGGCCTCTGCCTCCCAGGTCCCTGTGATGCAGCCCGCTGGCCGCCTCCTCCACTGTCTCGCACGTGCCCCGTCCCCGGCCACGCTGACTCTCCTTCTGTCCTTCAGACACTCAAGTGTGCCCGCGTCACCAGTCTACCGCGTCCATGCGCCATGTCCGCCGCACCCTCCCCGGGCCTTCCCGATGCTTACTGGCTTGGTCTTCACTCCCTTCAGCTCTTGTGGCTTCAGAGAGGACTTTTCTGATGGTCTGAATCTCTTTCTAACCCAGTAGTTTTATTTTTTTTTCTTTGCGTTTATTATTTTCTGAACTTATTTTATTTATCTGTTCTTATATTTATTACCTTCTCCCCGCCTTCGATTGTTTCTTTTCTTTTTTTTAGTTGCTTCTGGGCTATAGAATATAAGTTTCTTACATTAGTACCATGTCTAGCACATAGTAAACACTCAATAAATGTTCAGCATATGGATGAATGAATTGATTTGCCCATATACCTGGCACCCCTGCTTCAATGGTAGAGGCCTTACATTTGTGATCTAGTATTTTATATGCACATTTAACACAGGAGGCTGGTGAGTGTGTTCTGATGATCTTTAAGCCCTGTACTTTCTGGACAAAGCAGATGCTAAGCCGACGTCTTGATGCAGTGGTTAAAATCTCAAGGTCTGCATTGTTATTTGGTCCAACCCCTGTCTGCCTTTCTGTGTGCAACTTGGGCAAGTTACTTCTATTTTGAAACTTCAGCTTCTTCGTCTGTGGAATAGGGACAATAATGGCATGTACTTCGTAGGGTCATTGTGGGAATAAAATAAAGCAATGTGTAGAAAGCATTTAGTGTGGGACCTGGAACATGATACATAGCCAAAAATAGTTAGCTATTCTGCTTGCTTCTTCATTTGCACTTTAAGTTCCTTAGGAATAGGGAAGGGGGCCCTGGAAGAATTTCAAGTTCATTGTCTATATTTAGTAAGTGTTTGAAGGAATGCAGGGAATATGTAACTACTGGATTCTGTGTTGTTTTTCAGGTAGGTTTAGCAGCATGCCAGATTGCTAGAGCTTATGGCTTGAGGGTTTTGGGCACGGCTGGCACCGAGGAGGGACGGAAGGTTGTCTTGCAAAATGGAGCCCATGAAGTATTTAATCACCGGGAAGTTAACTACATTGATAAAATTAAGGTAAATTTTCCACAACTTTACAAAAGTCAAACCTCGCTTCTTGGAGACTTATGTGGTTTTTTTCTTCTAAGTTCTTTAACCAGCTACTCTCTTACAGCTGTTTGCCTCTTTTGTTCCATGCCTGTGTGTGTTTTTATGCTTATGTGTGTCTGAAAGTTTTAATTCATTTAAAAAGCAGAGATGCATGATTTTTAAACCTTCATTATTATTTCTGTATTGTTTATGTGTATTACATAAAATATAGCCTCTCTGGAGTCTTACAACTATAAAAAAAAATTGGCGTCTTTTAGTGCAAATCACATTTTCAGTAAAGCTGCAGCTTTGTTTTTGCAACTGTGAGGTTCTTTGTATAATTCTACTGATGTGAATTTTCCATGGAAGGTGCAATATCCACAGATTACAAACTGGATCTCTTTGGCCCAGGGAGTAAAGTCTGTTTGTTAACTGGATACTTTGGAGGAATAATCACTGCTGTATCCAAGGTGATGAGGTGGCATTTAGTGTTCATTGTTGCACACAGAAGAATTCAAGCAGACTGATATAACAGAATTCCAGCAGATTCTGAAGTTTCCACTTGCCTGATAGTATAATAGCAATTCACGAAGCACTGATCACTTGGCTAAACTTCGCTAGTTCCTTGTATTAGAAAGAATTAGAATTTCCCTGGTACTGTGTAAACTAGGTTGTTACCAATGGAGAAAAAATGTGAGTGAGCGCTTATCTTGCCACATCACTGAGCAAAGGCACCTTTTTTGTTCTATGTCCAGGGAACCTGGGATCAGCGTTCATTCCCAATACCGTTATCCAAAAATATTTACAAAGATGAAAAACAGCCAGTTAGTTTAAGAGAATGGTTTCTGTCCAGGAGTAATCTGACTTTGAGACCTAAAAGTCTTGTAGTCTCCACCCGTTCCACGGACTCCCGTGTCCGTTATTCCATCCTGTCCTCTGTTCCCCTTGACCATCGGACTTACTGAAAATTAGTGAGAGTGTCCTGTTCTCATTCCCCTGCCACGTCCCACCACAGCTTTGCTCTCGGCCCAGCTCCGTCAGCTGCGCCCAGAGGCCATGGAGACGCTCCTGGGGCCCGGCCTGCCGTCCCTCCGCTCTCGTCCGTCTGAGCGTGAGCCCCAGGGGACCCTGAACGCGGCTCCCGGAAGCCGTTGTCTTCTCCTCTCCCAGATTGTTGGCCCTCAGTCTCCTTCCCCGGCGTCTCGGTCAAGGTTGGTGTCCCCTAGGCTTCGCCCTGTGGCGTCTCACCTGCCCTGGTGCCAGGCTTCCACCGAGACCGTCTCCCGTGGCTTCCGTTATTACCATAGGCTGTTGATCTCCACAACCGTCTGTCGCCTGAGGTCACTCCATCCTGCCAGCAACCCGCTCGACATTGCCACTCATCGGGTCACCCAAGATGGAAACCCTCACGTCATGGTTTATTCTTGTCCCTCCCGCCCAGCAAGTCGGTCGCCTCGTTCTGGCAGTTTCAGCTGTGACATGCCTTCCAAATGCGCTCCCCTCCGTCACTCCATTCATCACTGTGACTGAGTCCAGGCCTCCGTTTCTCCAGCCTTGACTGTTATTCACGACTGAGCTGGCACTCCCTGCTATCTTTCCTGCTGTCTCCAGAGCGGTGTGGTGCCCTCTTAAAGAGCAGTCTCCAGGAAGACCCAGCCTGAAAGCTCTGGGAGGAGAGCGATGTCTCCCTCTCTCGTCCCCACTACACTTGCCGGGCCTCAGAAGCGCCTGGCACGGGACCTCCTGAGCACCCGCTGGCGAGAGCCCGGCCACGTTCCTTAACGTGGCTCTCCCTGCACTTCCGGCCCAGGCCTCCTCCTGCTCCTCCTCGCCCTGCCATCCCTCCTTGCCGGCCACGGGCTCAGCCCAGGCGTCCAGGCCCGCGTCCTCAGCCCCTGCATCCTTGCTCTCCTGCTGCTTTTCTTTCCCTTTCTGTTTCTGTGGCCCAGACTGACTCTGCTTCCCCTGGCCTCTTTCCTTTCCGCTTGGGAAACTCCTCTACATCCCTCAGGGCCCAGGTCATCGTCTCTGTGGAACTTTCTGTGGCCGCTGCAGGCCGTTAGACTTTAGTTTTGTTTTTAACATGTATTTTAATTTAAAGATGTGGGGCACAATTCGGGATTAGGTATGCAAGTGGACACTGTACAGCTCAAGTTTGGGCCTCTCTTTGGTCCCCACTTTGCCTGGTTTGAGATCAACCACCCTGACTGATGTTGTCCTCAACCCCCACCCCAGCTGTATCCTGCTCCTGCCAACCCCTTTCTTACCGTATTAGGGTCAGTGTTCAGGTCAACTTATGAGTGAGAACATGTGGTACTCGGTTCTTTGTTTCTGTGACAGATCACTGAGTGTGATGAACTCTAAATCCACCCAAGTCCATGTGCACTGCCCATCGAAGCTGACCTGTATTAAAAAAATGTGGTCCATACACATGATGGACTAGTATGGAGCCATAAGGAAAGACTTTAGCTTTTTTTCCTCTTTGACCCGTGGTTCGCTTCTGCCAACGCCGTACTCAGCCCTCCCCACACAGCCATGACGGCAGTAGCCCCAGCTTTCTCCCCAACTTTGTTCTGAGCTCCCCGTGTCCACCTTTGCACTCCTGGTACCTTGGGCAGTCCCGGGCACAGGTATTTATTTTTTTGTTATTAAAATACAATGAATACAATGTAGATGTGTGTAGCTTTTTGAAGCATCAGCATCCAGTGTCCAGGGGCTCCCCAAAATGACCTGTGTTTCAAGCAGATTGTGATCCGTTTAGAACAAAGCTGAATGCATCAAAACAGCAGCAACTCCTTTTTTGGGTTTCTGATTTGTTGTTTGTTTCTTTATGAAAGTTCATTTGAAGATAGAAAATGTTCAGCTAAGGAAAAAGTATCAAGGTGAACCTAGCACCTGGAAATTCTGGGAAAGTTTTATTTTGTGACAGCAATTTAGTACAAATTTTTATCATTTTAGATGTTGTGGCTTGTACCTTGGAATTACATTATTGTTATATAATTAGATCATTTTAAAACTTGCGTTGTTAGTCTTAAAAATGTAGCATTTATGTGTCATTTAAAACATTTTTATAATATATGGTGCACAGAATAGCTATTTACAGTTTTTTACTTGCTGTCTTACTCTACTTTCTCTTTTATTATATAGAAATCTGTTGGTGAGAGAGGAATTGATGTGATTATTGAAATGTTAGCGAATGTAAATCTTAGTAAAGATTTGAATCTTCTGTCATACGGAGGAAGAGTCATAGTAAGTATTTCTTTTTTTTTTTTTTACTACTTCAATATTTTACCACAATTTATCACTGTTTTGCAGTAATCTTTAACTGTGGAGATGTTATTTCTTATAATAATAGGTTGTTGGCAACAGAGGTACTATTGAAATCAACCCCCGGGATACCATGGCCAAGGAGACTAGTATCATTGGAGTTCATCTCTTTTCCTCAACCAAGGTAAGCAAACAAGTCATTCTGATTTTGGTAATTTAAACATTGGTACAGTTGCCTACTCAGGCAGATGGAAAGTTTAAGTAGCTGTTAACTTAGTTATATAACTGTAGGAGTTAGGAAGGATGGGTTACCAGAAGGATAACTAGGGCAACAACATAATTTATTTTCTAAATCAGGATACTTTTGAGAGAGAAATGGAATACTACTAGTAATTATTTCAGGGTAATAGATATTTTGTGAACTAACATCGTTCTAGGCAAAGGAGATTTGTGCTTACCCCATAGAGAACTAGTTTTACTATAGTTCTGGCCATGTTGACAAAAGTCACATCTGTAAGAAACTTTTATATTCTGAAGTCTTTTAATGCTTCAGAAAATCAAGTCATACGGTCCACTACAAAATTTTTTTTTCTTTTCCTTAGGAGGAATTTCAGCAATTTGCAGCTGCCCTTCAAGCTGGAATGGAAATTGGTTGGTTGAAACCTGTAATAGGTTCTCGGTATCCGTTGGAGAAGGTAGCCCAGGCTCATGAAAATATCATTCACGGCGGTGGGGCTACTGGAAAAATGGTTCTTCTCTTACGATGATGAATCATTTCATGCGATTTTATATGTAACAAGAGGTTCTCTCTCCTCCATTTTTACTTAATTACCTGCTCTTTGATTAACGTTCAGTTGATTCTGTGAGTTTCTTATGTGAAAAAATAAGATTTTTTCTTTAGAGAACAGAGGCAGTGAAGTAAAATTGATAACCAGCAATATTTTTTATGCCTCTGTCTCAGATCAGAATCATCAGATTAGGAAATAACGTGTTAGTGGTTATTGGCACTGAGGTGCTTTCCAGAAATTCTTGACTGACACTTGAGTAATTACAAGTCTTTGATCAGAACACGCTGATTCATAATAGGACTGCCCAGGTCCCACAGATTTCTGAGCCTACTCACCTCTACAAAGGTTCTTTAGTCTCTGATTAGCCTTGACTGTATTGGACTCTGAAGATTTACTGGACTGAAAAAGACTCTTGTTTCAAACTAATCTCGGCTGGGTCTGTAAGTCTTCTGGATGTGCAACAATAAACAATGGCCAGGGCAGTTTGTTAGTTTTCCCAATATTTCTCCAAATATTAGAATACTCATGATCAGTTGGTTGCCAATGACTTCGTATGTTCTGTGAAGACCGCAGCCCTCTCTTTGGTATAGTGTGATAACCTACACATGGTCTTCACATAGATAATACTTCTTTGATAAGATTTTCAAAGTAGATTCAGGGTTATCTCTTTGTTGATGGGGGTCATATATTTTCACTTAGATTAATAAACTCACAAATTTGACACTTTAAGAATGATCTTTTGTTTTAGGACATGATCTGTAGTAAATTCTGCAGAAAATTAAAGCCCGTGTTTGTTGATTTTGTACAGTACGTGCCTCACATCACTTGAGCATAACTCCCCACGGTCACTTCTCAACAGTGGTCTGTGATGGACGTCCTTACCTAAACTCAGTAAAGGGATGTCCTCTGTTAAGTTCAAGGAAGTAAGGTATGGTTGGTGGTTGGTTTGGCTTTTATTCCTGTGAGCACATCCTCCCGTCTCTTGTTGTATTATGTGGTTGATGGTCTTGATTTGTTCTTTGAATGATAGTTTCCAATTTGAACATGGAACGTCGCAGACAGAAAACACTGCTAATGTCTATAATGGAGGAGTCTTGCTGGCTTCTGGCTGTGTGTGCCATGGCTGAAGTGTTTTTGCTGTCAGCATTTTCCAAGTTGATTTACTATTTATTTCATAAGTTAAGTCCTGTAAAATCATTTTTGGAAAAAGTGTTAAAACTGTGTCATCAATGCAGGACGATTTTGGGAGCACCCTAAAATGGAGGATTCCTTCCCATGCAACAAGGTGAAGACATAATTATTCTGCAGAGGCCAGTCGATCTGTTGGCACTTTTGCCTCATCTATAGAGTGGGCCAAAGCATATGGATGACCCAGCGTCTTCACAGTACATTGGTGCAGTTTAGTGGACTGCACGCCTTCACTCCTGTGGTGTGAACGCACAGCATCGGATGTGTTCTCTGCATGAGTCTCCTTAGAATTCTAGTTCTTGTCTTGTCCCATCTTTCAGCCAATGACCTTCACTACGTGGTTGGTGTCTCCAGCCTTAGGACTGCTACGTGGTCCCCAGTGCCTGCCCCTGACAGAAAGTAGAGGATGGCCCGCAGAATCAGCGAATGCTGGCTCACCTCCCCACCTTCAGAATTTCTTTTCCTATTTGTTTTGACCTCCATGACCTGCAGTTACAGAATGTGTTAGAGACCAAATTGATCAGCACCCCGAGCCCCCAAAAGTAAAACAACACGCCAGGGGTCACATAACTAGGAGATTTCGGGTCAGCTGACTTTGCTTAGTAGCTGTTGATCTAAAACCACAAACTCTTGAGTCTTAATTTCCAAGCCTTTGGCTTTTCTTGCTCGCTGTACCTCTGGCTTCTGTAGGGGTTGAGCTGTCCCAGTTCTGTTTTGCCTGGGCTCCCTAGTCCTGACCCTGTTTATCATCTTTGCTTCAGTTATCACCTGTCTCCTGACTTGAGAGTCTTTCACAAAGGGGATTATTTTCTTCACCCATTAGCGTGACACATACTTACTGGGTACCCAGAGTCAGAGACGACACCTGCTGGAATCTGATGATACATAGATAAGACAGAGTCCACATCCTTAGCTTTTACTTGAGTAGGGATCAGCCTCAAGTAAAATATTTTAGAGTATAGTGGACTATATCAGGCAGAGTTCTCCAGATTAACAGGGTCAATGGGTCAGACATACGTTGACAGATTTCTTTGAAGGAATTTGCTCATGTGATTGTGGGCACCAGCAAGTCTCAACCTGGAGGGCAGGCCAGTGGGCTGGAAATACAGACAGGGCTTCTATTTTGCAGTCTTGGGGCAGAATTCTTTCTCTGGAAAACCTCAGTTTGGCTCTCAAGGCTTTCATCTGATCGGATGAGCCCGCCTGCAGTGTTGAGGGGACTCCACCGACAACTTTATGTAAACACATAAGTAGACCATGATGCCTTCATGTGGACACTCAGAGCTGACGATGGCAAAGGGCGGCATGCAGACACAGAGGAAGGTCGCTTTGTGGAGCTTGGGATTTGTGGTTCCACACTTAATATTCTTGGTGCCTTTGTTAGCTCTCCTCATCCATAGTAGCTTGGCCACAGAGGTGAAAAAAAGAAAGAAAAAAGAATGCTTCTGAAAGGAAAAAAAAAATTAGGTGGACTTTAAGATGTCTTTAACTTGGCTTTATTGAGGCAAGAAATCATGTGTGTCAAGGAGCTTCTGCGATTCACAGTGTAGAGAGCCTTCTTTCTGTGTGGTTGCCAGAACAGCAAAACCTGTCGGGTCACTTTGACCCAGCTCCTTCAGCCTTTTCAGCCACATCTCACAAACAGAAAAACACCTCAGCTCAGTCAGTAATCATCTCTTTTTAATCCTGCAGTTTTTTAGTACAGTGCTTTAAAAAAAAATGTCATTTAAAAGCTGTTATCAAACAATTTTACGAATCCATGGGACTTCTATTGTGGGACTTCCTACATCCAATGGAAGGGCCTAGAAAGTGTTGTAGCGCAGAAAGAAACCTGGGTTCCTTTTGATTTGTGCTGACCCCTAAGTCACATGTGAGGACATTCCGTGTATGTTACTGAAGAGTGCGTCTAATACTGATCCCAAGACCATGTATGATACAGACGTTCTTTAAACGTGGCAGACATAACCCCAGGTCAGCGTTCATGCCCAACTTGATGTAAAGACTCCCACGAAGAAGCAGTGGTACAAGAAAGTGACGAGGAGGCCCTGCGCCAAGATCCATGGGGATTTTCAACACCGGCATCAATCATTAACTCCAGGATGGGTAAGAAAAAGCCTCAACTCAGTCACTGCCTCTGACTTGGGACACAGGAGCTCTACTGCCTGGAAAACCAAGCCCCTTTTGCCCAGAAATCATCTGAACTAGCTAGAGTTGGGGTCTCTGTCCACCCCACACTGTCCTTCAACTCCTTGCTTTCCCAGGCATCTTAGAAGCTGCAAGTTTCCCTTTTCGGTACAGGTGGAGCAGGGCGGTACTCTTCATCTTTGAGTGTACAGTCACCACAGTGAAAACATTGCACATGGATGGCGTGGCGGGTCTCTGGGTAGCAGCAGATGCTGGAGAGTGTCCAACGCTTGCTCTAAGAACACCTGCCGGTCTCTAGCAAAGCCAGATCATCTAAGAACTGGAGAGAAGATGCCCAGGCACTAGGCCAGCAGGCACTGGAATTGACACAGGTATTTAAGAGGCCGTCTCACTCCAGGTGGTGATCTGGAAGGATGGGGAGGAGGGCCACTGGCATTTCTCTAGTCTAGTTGCTAAGAGCATGGGCTACAGAGGCATAAAACCTGGCTTTAAAGCCTAACTTTGTCACTGGCCAGTGTGGAATCCTGGGCAAATTACCCAATCATTTGGAGACTCAATTTTCTCATACGTATCAGGGAGAAAGAGGGGTAAGAATTGTAAGAATTAAATAAGGGTCATATAGCACCTAGCACTCTGTCTTGCACAAAAACTGTTTAAATATCTTTTATTTTTATTCGCCAAAAAGAGTACCTTGAGATAAAGGGGAGGAATGAAAAGAAAGGATCCTGACATCTTTCAAAAAAAGGCACCCCTCGCTCATGTAGGCACCTTTGCTAACTCTCCAAAAAAATAAAGAAAAAAGAGATGAGAAAAAAATTTAGAAAAACAACAAAAAAAATGCAACTTCTGAATTATAGCCTTGCCCAAAACATTCCCCAGAACAACGAAAGAGGTAGTAATTCAAGAAAATTTTCCTGACCTAAACCTAAGAGCTAAGTTTATTCGTTGGTGGTATTCATTGTGTCTATGGAAAATGAATGAAGATTACTGGTAATAAGACATATCCTTTAAAATGTTCACATTTCTTATAATTAGATTTGGAAGGGAGCATGCAGAAGAGTCATTACTTACAGTTATTTTATTCAAAACCTGGAGAACAAATGGAAAAATTTAATGAGTTAAGCAAAGTGGTTAATTGCATAACATAAAAATTAACATGTCAGTAATGATCAGAAAATGATGGAAAATATTTCTTTCACAGTTGCAATAGTACTCTTATTACTCATTTTCAAAGCATGTATTTAAAAGAAATACAAGAGAGTATATTTAAGAGATGTACAGGACTTTTAAAAAGAAAACTATAAAACTCTCCTGGAGGACATCAAGGAATACTCAAAGAAAAACATTCTTGGTCAGAGTCATGTAAAGATTCTTCCTTTACACTTTAGAAATTCAAAGCAATTCAAACCAAAAAGCTCAATAGGAATTTTTAGAGACTTGACAGTATATTTCTAAAGGATGTTTTTCTGGGGGAAAAGGCAACTAGCCAGAAAAATTCAGAACAGAAGTTGAATCGGAACCAGTCTCACTAGATATGAGCCTTTTTCCCAAGTTAGAGTCACCAAAGTCAAGCCACATTAGCTCAAGAGTCACTAGATGAGTGGAACAGAATAGAGTCTAGAAATGCGTCTCCCTTTCTTGGGTGAAAAACGAGCTTTGCAGTGGGGAAAGAAGCTATTCAGTAAGAGAACTGGTTACTTATTATTTTTATTCTTGTTTTTCAAAAGACATTGTCCTTTGAAAATATTCCATTTTATTTTCAAAAGACAAAGTATTCCTCTAAAGCGATGGGAACTACCTAATCTTGGGGGAAAACCTTGGGTTTACATTTCTGGAAATGAACCGTCAGACTTCACTCATGGTTAATAAAACTTGGGCTTCTCGCTTTGTTTTGGATATTTATTTTGATCGCAGCATTATGTTTGAAATCCAATTGTGAGCATCACCTCCAATCAAAGCACTTTTAGTAGGTGTGACAAATGCATTTTAACAAAATTGTAATTTGGTGAAACACTATTTTGCTCAGGAATTAACACACACAGCGATTCTGCTTCACGGTGGATCCATGTAACGTGTCTTTGTCCGTGTCTTGAAGCTGCTTTCATGTTGGTGGAGATGAGTTCGTTAGCCGACTTCCCTTGTCTTGTTGTTGGGCCCATCCCCGCAGCTTCTAAGTGCTCCTCAGATTATGTTCCTTTTATGTCTGTCAAGCCCCAGTTCCACAGAAACAAAAACTCTTAAGTAGCTGGAATTCTTTGCCTCTTTCTTGTCAACCTGCTGGTTCACGCAATGAGGAACACTATTTTCCAGAGTTTTGCTCTACCCAGTGGTAGGCAGTTTGTCTGGATTTATTTTTGGCAAGGAAGAATACAACCCCACTCGCGCATACAGATGCCCTTGTGTCCTTTTGTCCTCTCTCCGGCTCTGCTGGAAGTGATGGCCCCCCTCCT